TTACATCAGGAAAGCATGAATTCTGATTCATATCAGAATTCTATAAAACATTCAAGAATTTCAGGCCATTTTTCTAAGTCCCGTGGCAAAAGTGATCCACAGAAACAAGTCTACAAGATAGAATAGAGTAAAAACTTTATTCACTTTAAATATACACAAATCAGCATTCAATAAAATGAAATTTCATTGTATTCCGCTCTTAAAAAAAACCATTATGTATATGCCCACATACACGCGCATATATGACACAGAGAAATAATTCAAACGTATACATATTCATGGGGGGGGGGAAGAATCCTGTGAATTTACAAGACAGATGGCATAAGGAACAAAGCTGTTATAAAAGCTAGTAGTTCTGCTATAAATACTTCAAAACCTTCTCCCAGAGGGGAGCAACAGAAACAGACCATGAAGTGGGTATGTGGGGTCTCTAACAATGCTTCAAGCTTTAAGCATATAGTGCTTATAAGTAGCCTGAATAATGGGAAGTGAGTTTCCTAAAATCTTCTCAGCTGTCTTTACCACTCTCTGAATGGACTTTCTATCTGAGGCACTGCTACCACCAAACCAAACACTGATGCAGTTTGTTAAAATGCTCTCAATTGTGCCTCTTTAAAAAATGGCCAGGGCAGAAGGAGAAAGATGTGCTTATCCGATGCAAGAAATGCAAATGCTGGTTTGCACACTTCACTAAAGACAATGTATGAAGAAACCAAGTCAGATTGTTAGTTATCTGCACCCCACCTATTGACCACCTCCACAGCTGCAGCCTTAATGGAGCATGACTATGCCAGCTCCTTCTAAAATCAATAATGATCTCCTTTGCTTTACTAACAAATGTTAATTAACATTAACAAACCAGATTATTTTTATTGCACCAGTCCACCAAAGCCTTCTCCTCCTCCCTTTAAGAATCTTGGTTATCAGCTCAGATAAGACCCACCATTGCCATGTCATTCACAATATGATTCGTAGCAAGCTTAGCACAGCAGTCATGGGTCAAGGTGAACAGTAAGGATTCAAAACACAGCCTTGTAGGGAACCCCTACTCCATCAAAAGGATGCAATTGGAAACTTTATTCTTCCAACTGGGGCCTATCAATAAGATGACAGATGAAAAGGAATGTATATAATATTTTGGTGTGGCCAAGTCAAAGCCAGATCCAAACCCCATAGAAATATCGTGGCAGGTTTAAAATCAGCAGTTCATATTAAAAAACCTCAGCTATTACTGACCTGAAGCAATTCACCATAAAGGAATAAATAAACCAGAATTCCTACACAGTGATGTGAGAAACTGGTCACTGATTAAGGAAGTATTGGTGCACTAACTGCAGCTAAGAGTGAGGCAACCAATTATTGAGTCATGTGGACAACTACTATTTTGCAGTAGTATATCATGTTGCATGATCTAGATAACGAATGAAACAAGTAAAATAGTGTTACTTCATTTAAAATGTCATTTTATGTTTTACTAGGGCACATGAAACTCTTAACATTCAGCCGCAAAGATATACAAATGTTCAGAAAAACTCAAAAGAAGCAAACATTGTTACAGAGTTGTATTTCTTTTCATTTAATCAATATGTATAGCTACCAATCTGAAAAAAATGATTGTACACTAGCAGTATCTTTCCTGGTTGTGAGATTGAGTCTTCTCGTTTCTCAGGCTGAGGCTCCTACAGGTGTAGAAGCAGATCTGATTGATGTAGGATTTGTGGATGATATCAAGAAAGGTGGCGGTAACAGTGGTGGCTTCATGGCCCCTCTACCTGGTCCTGAAGGAGTCATGCCCCTGCCGATGCCATCTCCAGTTCCTTCTTTCTCCTACCCACATCCGAAGGGGATGGTAATTACTAAATCTCGATTCATGCAGGGCTCTGGAGGCGGGTAGTTTTGTTTTTGTCTTATTGCCGGCATGTGCGTTTGCAGCAGCTTTTCTTTCTTGAACATGCTGCCTACTTAATCTCTCAATGAGCTGCATCTGCTTTGGCTAACGAGTATTCTAATTTCTGCAGGAGAGCTTCAATGGGCTACCTGTGGGTACCTACCAACCATTCACTGGCCTTCACCCTCCTCCGATTCCAGCAATTCCTCCAACATATGAATCTGTAAGTGTCATCCAAGAAAAATGTAGTCCTCTAAAACTGCATGAAATGAAAAACACATTTCACAGCTGACCCAAAAAAAGTCATGTTCCACAAATTCTACCAAACTGTTTAGGTCTGGCTGCAGTTTGGCAGAAACTAAATTTAGAATCTGAGACAGGAAGACAGAATATTGCTTCTCCCCCCCCCCCTTTCCTTTGCATAGCCGTCTTCCCAGTGCCTACGTGGAATAGCTCACACCAGACAGTTGTGTATATTCTTAGTGTGCTGCTGAGAATTGGGGTTAAGGCTTTGGTCAAGCATTAGTTGTGAGATGCCTTTTCTGTGGGTGCCAAAGTTGCTTTTCAGAACTTTCCCTTTAATTTGCTATGTTTACCTGCCTTCATGCTTTGGTCCCTTCCAACAGTGATGAAATATTTTCCTAGAGAAAAAGAGACTGGGTTCCCTGCACCCTCTCTCCCCATTGCTTTTCTGTCCCACCTAGCAGCAGAGCTTTGGGATTTGATTCTTGAGGTGGAGAAAAATATGCTTCTGAATCCTCCCAGCCTATACAAATAAACAAAGGTGTTTAGTGTGCTGCATGCCAGGACCTTCTGCCAAATACACTTGTGCCTGTTTCAGGTAGATGATGGGAATACTGACAAGGAAGTGCCGTCCTTACATGTTGTGACTGGTAAGTCTAGAGAAGGTCAGGGAACACCGGCCGAGGCCTTGCTTGTCATTCTGGTAAGACACACTGAGCTGCTGCACTTGGCTTGGGGTGAAGTGGCAGCAGTTTGATTCCTCCAGAGCTGTGGAAGCTCACACCCTGCAACACAGCCCTGGGAGGCCTTAAAAGCACCAGCACTCTTGTTAAAGGACACAAGAGAAAATACAGCGTGCTACAGTAGGCAGGCTGCTGGCATGTAAGAATTAGTCTTCTATTGTTTGGGCATTGTTCCTGCTATTCCCTGCCCAAGGCTTGCAATGTCTCTTCATCTGCCCTCTGCTGCAGGTCCCCGCGTAACACCAGAAGCCAAGGGGCAGCCACCAGTCCCCATGCCCCGTTCAGGTGATCGCTTTGTGTTGCCAGAGTTGCCATCTGTGCCAGATACACTGCCTGCTGCTTCTGCTGGCACCAGCACATCTGCCTCAGATGAGATTGACTTTGATGATCTGTCCCGGAGGTTTGAGGAGCTGAAGAAGAAAACCTAAGAGCTACATACTCTGTTGCTGCAATGGGTGCTCTTTCTTCACTTGTCTTCTTCTTGGCCTTTCTTCTTGCTCTACTTACACCAAATTGTGCTGTTTTGGAGGGCCCTTTGGGACCCCTTTCAGTGGGGAGCAAGAAACCTCTCCCCTATGCCTCAGTAGCCCTAGATAATCTCTTCTCTGGAGTGGGGTGTGGAGGTGATGTCAGTAGCATTTCCTTTGGACAGAAGACAGCACAGCCACTGCAATAAGATGGGTCTAGACAGCCTGATGGAACAGGGGCACACCCTTGCCTTCTGGGCATATTCTGTGGGAAGGGCTGCTTTAAGGCCTGTGCTTGCTTGATGCAGTTATGGCTTTTCTCTGGGAAAGGAGGCCAAAGCCAAGTCTACCCTGAGGGTCCTGCTGATGTGCATGAGGTGGGGCAGAAGAGTCAGGTACATGCCTTGAAGCAAACCAATTTTAGACCTAGCTCAGAGATTAGAAAAGACTCCCTCAGCAGGGTATGGCAAGCTGGGTATGGGACCATCATTTGACATTTAGGTCTGCAGCCCCCGACTAGTCCATGTTTGGCCTATGGGACAAAGCCATAGATGGCAGCACCACATAATCACATCTGCTGCTATGATGCCCAGAGGAAACCTGTTTTCTCATCTAATGCTTCTGTATGTAATATGTTCACATGGCTTTTCTGGGACAAATTTGATGGTTGATTCCTTCTTTGTTCTGAATAAACAAATGTGATCTTCACTGAGTCTGTCTTGGCGGATATAATCTGATACAGAACTGTCAGAGGAGGAGATCATGCTGTTTTCCAGTGGTCCCTTTCAGCCTCTGGAACAAGTAGAAAAATGGTTGATCCTCATTGTTGCCCAGATGTATTGTCATAACTTGTATGTAAGTTAAGGAAAGAATATGACTGCAAGAAATTACAGAGAATTGAACTGGATGCTGAAATGGCTAAGATTCCCTTTAGGGGTTGCTTGTTCCAGATGTTATTTTATAATCAATGGAGCTAATGATGCCCCCTGATGTTTGGGTGGGGAAAAGTATTCCCCAGATTGGTATAACTCAAACTCATTTCCTGCACCAGGTGAGAAGAGTCTGCAGGGGATTGTTGGATTTTCGAACTTTATGTGTACAGAAATTAACTTTGTTTTTAAAAATGGGAGAAATAGAATATGTCAGGGTACTTGGGACTCCCTTTTTTAGTTTTTCTGGTTATGCTATTTACATTAACGATGCTTTCTCAGATCCCTAGATGCATGTGATGTTTTAACTCAAAGATGGTAGAGAGCTTATGGAGGTATTTCTATTTACAAATCTAGACTTCCATAATTTGAATTCCTGAGTGTCTCAGAATGGCTGCATGGCAAGAGCCAAGCAGATCTTTACCAGATTTTTCATAGTATTCAGAAAAAGGAAAGGTGGTGATAGAATTGGACAGCAGTGGTATTGAACTTGTAGGCAAGTTTTGAACAGGTAATCGAAATAGTAGCGTTGGCTGAGGATAACTCTGCTAATTGAGAAATGAATCTCCTACCGAAAACTAAAGGAAGAGTACGTATAGCAAAAAGTGCTAAAACGAAAACATGCGAAAATGCTGGATTGGAAGCGGGAGGTAGCCCGTAGCCCAGGCGCAGGGAGGGAGTGGGTCTCCGGTGAGGCTGAGGGCGGGCTGTGCTGGGGAGCATCGCGGTGGTGGACGTCGGCCGCGTCCTCGGAGCTCTTCGTGACTTGCTCTGAAGGGAAACGTGCTCGGGGGCTACTTTCCCCGGGAAGGAGCCTGAACCTTTGCCCGGAATGCGGGAAGAGAAGCCAGCCGCGCTCTCGGCTGGGAACCCCAAAGCTCCGCGCAGCTCTGCGGCTTCACAGCGGAACGGCCGGGGCGTCCCCGGACCCTTCGCGCATGCGTTGGAGCCTCCCGTCCCCTCCCTCGAGTCCCCGCCATGGCCGCTGCGGCGCTGCGGGTGAGCAAGCCCCCGTCGACCCCGGGGCTGCCGAGGAGGCACGAGCGGGTGGGGGGAGGAGGTGGGCCGGGCCTGACGTTCCGCTTCTCTCCCCGCAGCGCCTGAAGGAGGCCGCTCTGGTGCTTGGGGGCGGCGGCCTGATCTTCGCCGCGCACCTGGCCGCGAGGGGCGACGAGCGCTTCTACCGCCAGTGGCTGATGCCGGGCCTGCAGCGCGTGGTGGGGCCCGAGACCGCCCACCGGCTGGCGGTGTGCCTGCTCGCCTGGGGCCTCGCGCCCCGGCCCGGTCCGGCCGACTCGGAGGTCTTGGTACGGAGGGAGGGGGAGAGGGAGAGGGAGGGGGAGTGGGCGGCCGGGCCGGGCCTGAGCTTCTCTCCCCCGGGATTCCCCTTAGGAGGTCCGGGCTTTTGGGCGGCGATTTCGGAACCCGCTGGGACTGGCCGCTGGATTTGACAAGCACGGGGAGGCCGTGGACGGGCTCTTCAAGATGGGCTTCGGCTTTGTGGAGGTGGGGAGCGTCACGCCGGAGCCCCAGGAAGGCAACGCCAAGCCGCGGGTCTTCCGGCTGCCCGAGGACCAGGCCGTCATCAACAGGTGGGCGCTCCGGGGGAGAAGGGGGGGGGCTGGAGCACCTCCGCTACTCCGGCGGAGGGAAGGGCCCCCCGCCCTCCCTGAAGCTCTTCTGCCCACGCAGGTACGGGTTCAACAGCCAGGGCCACACGGTGGTGGAGCGCAGACTCCGAGCCCGGCAAGCCGCTCAGCGCCAACTCAGCGAAGGTGAGGCGGCAGCACCGCCGGGCCTTTTGGGCAGTCTAGGGATAGCTAGGTTTCCTCTGTCCTGACTGTTTATTTATTTACATTTCTTAACTACTCATCTCCCTCAGAAAGGGACTGGGTGATATACAGCAAAACGTTAAAATATAGAAGCAGAATATAGAAATTAAAAGTTTAGAAAATAACGAAATAGCAGAGTTGAAGGGACCTCAACTCTAAAGTGGCGAGACCCTATACCAGGGTTCCCCAACCCCTGGGCTGCAGCCCAATGTCAGGCTGCAGCCCATTGAGAACTGGCCTACGCAAGCAGTCCGTGAGTGCACGAAGTTGCATTTGTGCAAGTGGCACATGTGCCAAACCATCCCCTCCCCACGTTGCTGCCGCAGATCTGCAGAGCTGGAAACGCTGAAGACTGCTGCCCAGACCATTTCAAACAAAGGGCTGTCCAATCTCTTCCTAAAAACCTCCAGTGATGGGAAACACACAACTTCTGGAGGCAAGCCATTCTACTGATTAATTGTTCTAACTGTCAGGAAATTTCTACTTATTCCTAAGTTTGTTAGAAATTTGGAACTAAAAGGAGGCAAGGACAGTTAAAATCTTCTAGAAATTAGTTTAAAAGATGAAGGGAGGGCTCTTGGTACCATCCAGCTCCACAGGTATGTGCTCCTCTGAGGTCTCCATGCAAGGCCACAGAGCTATGTTTTTCCTTCGTGGAAGGCCAGGAGAGCGGAAGTCTATCTCGTCTCCAGAGGGAGGATATTCCACAGGCCAGGGCAGGGGCAACAGCAGAGAAGGGTCTCTTCTTAGATCCCACCAGTCGGATTTCTTTAATTGACAGGTCTATAACATACCTTTGTTGCTGACCAGATGGGACGGGCTGATGTAATGGGACAAAGTAGCTTGGGCCCATGCCATGTAGGACTTTATAAGTCACAACCAACATCTTGAATTGGACCTGGAAGAAAACAAATCCAATGCAACTCGTGGAACAAAATTATTACATGCCCTGTTTTTGGATATCCAGAATTTGTGCTGATGGGAGCAGAAGGGGGGAAGGGCTTTGAGTAATGTTTTCATTATCTAGGAGTGCCTTTAATTAGTGTTTGTTGTTTGAGGTAACAAGCAAAAAATGTGATTTCTGATAAGAACCAGTTCAGACTTGCTAAAGGCAAGATGTGTGCAAAGATTTGAAGTCTAGTAACTTGTGAACTGATTATAATGTGAGAAACACATCTCCCGAATATGAAATTGAGCATTAAAAAGATCATACTGAGTACTATGGGATGCTATGAAATGTTATATGGTACATATAAAGCTACTGAGCATGCTCGCAAGATTATAGACGAGTTAAATGACACTAACCAATGAAACACAATATGTTTGAAATGTATATAGTTAGTCCTCGACTTATGACCACAATTGAGCCCAAATTTCTTTTGCTAAGCAAAACATTTGTTAAGTTAATTTTGTCTAATTTTATGACATTTCTTGCCACAGTTGTTAAGTGAATCAATGCAGTTATTAAGATAGTAACACAAATGAATCTGGCTTCCCTATGGACTTTGCTTATAAGAAGGACACAAAAGTTGATTGCATGACACTGGGACCGCCATAAATATGAGTCAGTTGCCAAATATCTGAATTTTGATCACCTGACCATGGGGATACTGAAATGGTCATAAATCACTTTTTCAGTGCCATTGTAACTGTTGCAAGTCGAGGACTACCTGTATAAGGTGATTTCTTATCTTTCCAAGGGGTCTCTCACCTTGTGTCCGTAGGCCTATCTTCTTGTTTATACATAAATAAATACTAATCTACCTTTCCAACTCGGATCCTATTTGGGCTAAAGAATCTTGCCAATGTTTGCAGCTGACAGCATCGCCACATTCTGCTTCAGTTGAAACTTCCAGATAGTTTTCAAAGGGAACCCCATGTAGAGCAAATTGCAATAGCCCAGTTGCGAGATGACCAGGGCATGAGTGACCAGAAAGCCTCCCTATTCAGGAAAGGGTGTAACTGACGCACAACATAAAGTTAAGCAAAAGCCCTCCTGGCCACAACTGCCACCCGCTCTTCCAGCAGGAGCTGTAAATCCAGAAGGACCCCAAGTTATGCATGGGGTCTGTTTAGGGTGGTGCAACTCCATCCAAGACCAAAGGTGATAAACTCCTGGATACAGGAGGGGCCTGCTGCTTTGAGATTAAAAGTTCATTGCTGCTGCAAAGCTGTCATTATGCTGTCTGGGAGCCAAAGCCTGCCTGCCTGTTAGAATAGCCTTAAAGAGCTTAGGGTGCAGATGAAGGATCACTGTTCCAAAGGGGAGGTTGCTGAGTGCTCCTTGGCTCTTGTCCCCCATCAGCTTGAAAAACCTGTGAAGCTTGTTGTGCTCCCTTGATGCTGCTCTGCCTAGGGGGGAGAGGGGCTGCCTCTGCCTTCAGGGCTACTGCTGCATTTTATTTTCTTTGGTTTTAAGCGGGGATGCCCCTTGGAATAAATCTGGGCAAGAACAAGTGTTCTGTGGATGCAGCTGCTGACTACGTTGCAGGCGTTCGCGTTTTGGGTCCACTGGCTGATTACGTGGTGGTGAATGTTTCCAGCCCAAATACGCCAGGATTGCGGGCTCTGCAGAGCAGAGCAGACTTGCACCTCCTACTTACAAAGGTAGGGTCCTGCTTTGGGCCTGAAGGTTCTTCTTGCTTCCTTAGAAATCTCCCTGTTGGGGTGTTCTGTGTCCAGCAGATTGGCATGCACTTTGAACTGCTGCCTACTCGTATTCATTGAGCACTGTCCAAAAGAATATTGGGCCTCAATTAGGGAACAGCTCACTCATTGTTAGTGAATGCCTATTTCCCAGACTGGCCATCTTTGATGTCATCTGGTCTCCTGAGCATTGGAAACAGCTTTGTTTGAGTACAGCTCCTACTACTTCCCTTCCCAAGAGCATTTCATCTTATTGTGAGCCTCTCCATGTGCTAGGGTCCTGTTCTGCCTGTTGAAGAGATGGCCAAGGCCTGGAGCTTCAGTATTACCTTTGTTTCTGGCAGGTTCTTGCTGAGCGGGATTCTCTCCCAGGTAAGCACAAACCGGCTGTGCTGGTGAAGATTGCACCAGACCTGACAAGCCAAGAGAAACAGGACATTGCCAGGATTGTGAGTGAGGTACTAGGATAAGGGCAGACTGTCATTCCCTTTATTAGCTCTTGATTCTGTCAGCCTCTGCTCTGTTTTATCTGCATGCTGCTGGTCAGGGGGCATCTTCACTCCAAGGATTGGAAGGAACTGGGAACCATCTAATTCTGCCTTTGGCCTCCTTTTCCAGCTGGGCGTTGATGGACTGGTGGTAACTAACACTACCGTGGACCGTCCTGAGACCCTTCGTGGGGCTTCTTGCAATGAAGCAGGGGGACTGAGTGGAGCTCCCTTACGACAGCTCTCCACCCAGATGGTCAGCGACATGTATTCTCTCACCCAAGGTAACAAGATCAAGAAGAAGCATGAGGCAGTGGCGCCAGTTTCCTTTTCTATAAACCCTTCCTTCCTTCCTTCCTTCCTTCCTTCTCTTAGGCCGCATACCAATCATTGGAGTGGGTGGAGTCTGCACTGGCCAAGATGCCTTGGAGAAGATACGGGCAGGTGCCTCCTTGATCCAGATGTACACAGCCCTCACATACCATGGGCCACCTGTGGTTGGTGCCATAAAGCAGGAACTTGAGGCCCTTCTGAGGTGAGTGGAAAACTTCAGTTTCTTTTGGCATCAAACGTGTCATATCTGCGAGGGAAAAGCAGGCTCTCTTCCTTATCCCTGCTTCTCTTGGTAGAATGTCCACTCCGTTTCTGTTAATCACCATGTTAACACTTAATCAAACAAGAAAAAAGCAGGATTTTAATAAATCTTTTATTAATTGATTTAAAAATTGCCCCTAAATACTTATAACCTCAGGAGGATAGCACCCCAATCAGCCAGGTGAGCCCTAAAGGCAGAGAAGGTTCATATTCCGGAGTTCAGCTCATAGGAAACTATGAAAAATGCAAATTTCCCTTCCCCCTTCCTTTGGAGTTTTCACTCAGTATACCCAATTGGGTATTGGAAAATTAATTATTGTACTTAGAGTCATTGGAGAGGAAGACATTACTAGAGTAAAGAAGTACACATTGAGGAATATACATTGAAAGGAATTAGGTTCTTGAGAGAGCAGCCCAAGCAGGCGGGCAGTATTAATTAACTAATCAAGGAAATGGAACTTGTGAAGCAAAGAAAAACTGTTTAGGAAAAGATATTTTTCCAAGGGTTAATGTTTTCCTTTTTATCCCCAAGAGATAGAAGAAGAGTTCACATAATTCTGTTTGCCTTGAGCAGGGAACAAGGATTCCAGAGTGTTCAAGATGCTGTGGGAGCGGATCATAGCCTCTGAGGATTCCTGGCCAAGGATTAGTGTAACAAAAGGGATCCCGTGAACATCCTGGACCCAGCAGAAAGAGAGGACATGTATCATCTGAGATCCACTTTCTGTCCTTCATTAATGATTGGAGGGGGGATTTGGACCTTTCTTTTTTTTAAAAAAAAGACATGTAACAAGAGAGAAACGGGTGTTTGTTGGCATACATCCTCTCCTGGGGAAGTGTAAAAGCTAAAGAGCTTTCCTGATGTCATGAGACTGAGGCAAGCACAAGAAGGTAGAAATGTGTGAAAAAGTCAGCAAGGAACATAGTATCAGTGTTCCCTTTGTTGAATCTCAGTCTCTCTCACCCTGTAAGGTTGGGAGCCCTGTACATTGAGTAGAGGAAACCTGTTTTGTTGTTCAGCAGTTTTGGAGAAGGCACACAGTAGTTTTGGCTTTTCAAAAATAAAGCATTATTGAGATTGTTTCCTCTGGAAGTTATTTAATTTTGTCTTGAAACTTATGTCTCTAAGTCTATCTAGGATTCTAGGCAGTAGAAGATGCTGAGTCTTCTTTGAAGGGAATGCTTTATACCAGGTAAATTGCTTCAAAAATGAATCTATTAAGGGGTTGGTAACAAAATATTTATCTAAATTTATTGGCTACTCAATTCCTGTGTACTGGGTGGCGTACAAAACTATACATAAAAACATCTAGCACTGCCTTTCAAACTCAGGTACCTGAATGGCATGGAGCTGGAAAAAAAGCCTACTTCCTGAATTTGAGAGAGAAACAATATCTTTGCAAAATGCTTTTTCAACCTCTCAAACTGCAAGTACATCAAGCAAAGTGAAAAACATTTTATTAATGGGGTCAAGTTTTTACCTAGGGTACAGAATGATACATTCAATATACATGATCCACCAGAAAGCAACAAATCCAAAGACATGTCTAAGATGGGAGAAAAGAGATGCTATTGAAATAGACTGCATCTCCTCTTTTCCCTTTTTTTCTCTTGGGTTTGTTTCTGTAACACTAGCAGTCCTATTTGACTGATGAAAGGGGCTGATTTTCACACATCAAAGGGAATGGTTTTGGCTCAAAGGGAAAATATGGTTTCCTGCACTCCAGAGGAGGAGGCGCCCTAAAATGCTAATACAATATTACCTTTATTAATGTATTAGTAACAAAGTCCCAAATCCCAGGAAGTACTAGAAACATTAAATCAACAGGCAGCCTGGACTAAAATATTCTGCGAGCAAAACCAAATGGGCCGTTACTGACAACACCAGGCTTGGAGTCAAGGCCAGGTTTTCAAATGCTCCCAGAATTTCAGTTGAGCTAATATCTTTTAAAGAATGGCAGGAAACTTTTTTCACCCTTGACTCGGATTTGGCTCTTGCCCAGCACAGGGACAAGCCGCGCGGTCTTTCAGGTGGCATTTTTTGAGGAGGGACCGGCTCGGCCCGGGAGACCCGCCTAGCTTTGTGCCCAGGACACGGCCAAGGTCCCCTGCCGACTGGCCGATTCCGGTGCCCGAGAACAAGCAGAGAGCCCTGGCCACGCTGTGCATAAGGACCGGGCCGGAACCAGCCCACGCGACGCCGACCGAAGCTTCACGGATGAAGCGGTTGCCAGGCAATTCCAAGGCGGCGGAATCGCCTAGAACGGCCCTCCGCGGCTCTATAGCGGAAGGAGGAACAGGCCACCGCGGAGCATTCTGGGACGGCCGGCCCCGCTCCGTCCGGAAGAGGAAGCGTCGCGCAGGGGCCCATGGAGGAGCGCGAGGAGGCGGCGGCGGCGGAGGCCTCGCTGCACCGGCTGGCCGGGCTAGCGCCCGAGGAGCAGGTGGGGGGGCTGGTGCTGGTCAAACGGCGCAGCGCCGCCGAGGAGCAGCACGTCTTCAAGATCCCGGCGCCGCGCGCCTCCCTGCTGGGCCTCGACCTACTGGCCGCCCAGAAGCGTCGCGAGCGGGAGGACCGGCCCGCCAAGAGGCCCCGCGGCGGGGCGGCCGAGGAGGGCGGGGGCGAGCCGCCCCGGCAGCCGCCGGAGGAGGCGGGCGACGGGACGGAGCGGGGCAGCCGCCGGCGCAGGGACAGGTGAGCGGGGCGGGCGGCGGTTCGCCGGGGCTCCGGGGCCGCCCGGCAGGCCGGCTGATCTCCCGTCCCTCCTCTGCAGGCAGTATCGCTCGGCCCAGGTAGAGACGCCGTCGCACCCGGGGGGCGTCAGCGAGGGCTTCTGGGAGCGCAGCCGGCAGCGGGAGCGGGAGCGGCGGGAGCAGGGCGTCTTCGCTTCGTCCAAGGAGAAGGAACGTCGGAGGGAGCAGGAGCGCAAGCGGGAGCAAGGTGAGCCCGAGCCCGGCGTCGGCCCCCCGGGGCCCTCCGCCCCCGCTGCTGACCGGCCTTTCTCCGCAGAGACCCGCGATTGTTGCCGGCGCAGCGCCCGCGCCGAGAAGGAAGGCTCTTCGGAGAGGAGCAGGAGCGCCCCGAGCAATGAGCCGGAGAGCCCACGGCAGCCGCCCAAAGGTGCTTGGTGTGGGGAGCCCGCCTGACACGGAGGGGGACGGCTTTGCCCCTCGCTCGCTGGCTCGCTCACTCGTTCCTTTCCGGTGCTCAGATGCAGCCACGCCATCGCACTCGAGCTGGGAGGAGGAAGACAGCGGTTACAGCGGATCCCGCCGCTCCCAGTGGGAGTCTCCTTCCCCATCTCCCTCCTGCCGGGACGCCGAGCGGAGCCACCGGAGCCCTCCTCAGCCTCGCGAGAACGAGAAGCGGGGAGACCGCGATCGGTATGGTGGGGGCTAATGGCTCACAATGGCGCTGCGCTGCGCCTGAGCGGGGGCTGGGCTGGGCTGGTTGGGCAGCAAGAGTTGTGAGTGTGAGCTTTGCAGTGGTTGCCCTTTGCAGGTCCAGCAGGAGCAAGTGTCCTGAGGAGACTCCTTTGCTCACCCCTACTTACAAATACAACGAGTGGGCTGACAACCGAAGGCATTTGGGTGGGCCCCCTTGGCTCTCCAGAGGCAGGGGTAAGATAAAGGTTGCAGAATGGGGAGAGGCCCGGGTTTGCTTTATTCCTAGGTAGAATTGGCATCTCACCAGATTTGTTTCTAGGGAGATGTGAGGATGGGGAAGACAGCATTGCATTTGAAACAGAGGAAGAACAGCAGCAATGGGAAGACGATCAGCGGGTGAGTTGGCAGCTTTAAGCCCTCGGGTGACCTCTTGGTTACCTTGCTATTTGAGGCAAAATGGCTGAAAGGAGAGAAACGGAGCAAGAAACTTCAGAATGAGACCAAAGCAAACCTTGGATTGACAAACTGAGGTGACTGTGGCTGCTTTTCGCTTTCTAAGTGCGGGCTATGGGTGTGATCAACCCTTAGGAAGAGACCTCTCCCTGGGGCTTGGAGATCTCTTTTTGCCTCTCTGGGTGAAACGGCTGTGTGTGTTTGTGTGTGTGTGTGTGTGTAATCAGGAAATCAGTTTGCAATTCTTTGTAGTGTTGAGGAAAGGGTTTCTTTCCTGAGGGGAGGGGGAACTGTTGTGATGCTAACATCCGATGTTATAGCAGCATTGACAGCTATGAACAGCACAGCAGAAGATACCTTGTTTTTTCTCTGGGGAGACTTTATAACCATTTTTGCCTCTACTCAGCAAGCTGATCGGGACTGGTATATGATGGACGAGGGCTACGATGAGTTCCACAACCCCCTGGCTGCCTCCTCAGAGGAGTACGTGAGGAAGCGTGAGCAGCACCTGCAGAGGCAAAAGCAGACACGCATCTCAGCTCAGCGCAGGCAGATCAATGAGGTAGGGCAAGGCAGGGGCATGCTAGGTTGAGGGGGCCTGGGGCTCAGCTGTGATCCAGAAGCAGAGGGTCCACTTGTTCTCTACCATTGCTGTGAGCCCCACAAGGCCTGCTTGGGAGCTGCTGCCTGATTTAACCTTCTGTTTGGCAGGATAATGAGCGCTGGGAGACCAACCGCATGCTGACGAGTGGTGTGGTGCATCGGCTGGAGGTGGAGGAGGACTTTGAGGAGGATAATGCTGCCCGGGTGCATCTTCTGGTGCACAACCTGGTACCTCCTTTTCTTGACGGGCGCATTGTTTTCACCAAGCAGGTGAGGTGACGTGATGCTGGGGGGGGGGGAGGAGCAATGGACATTTGTTGCCTTAAAATTATCCCTTTTTTCATTCTTTCCAGCCTGAGCCCGTCATCCCTGTCAAAGATGCCACCTCTGACTTGGCTATTATTGCCCGCAAAGGCAGCCTGCTGGTGCGGAAGCACCGGGAGCAAAAAGAGCGAAAGAAGGTGCTGTCTGAGTCTCTTGCTGTGTGGGTGCTGGTGGGTCCCCGACTCCTTCCTGGAGAGCTGGTTTGGCCTAGTGGTGAAGACAATAGCCTAGAAAGCGGGAGACCATGAGTTCAAGTCCAGCCTTAGGCCAGCCTCTCAGCCCATCCCACTTTAAAGAATTGTTGTGGGAGTTAATTAAAGGAGGAAGGTGTGGTTGATATGTTCAGTGCCTTGAGCTGTTTGTAAGAATAATAAAGGTGAATTTAAGGAAAATAATAAGCAAAACAAATAATACAATCTCTCCTGAACCATTAGTAGGGAAGGCAGGTACAGTGCTCAAGTGGTTCGTAGAACATATTAAAGTAAGGGGACCAAGTTTAGTTGTGTAAGCTGAGGGAAATCCTGAAGCAGGAAGCTGGAGGGGGGGCACTGAATGATGAGGAATCCATGATCTGGAGAGAAATGTACCATCCTCCAGGTGGGGTAGCACTCTCACCAAAGAGCTTCGGCTGGCAGCCAGTTGAAGCTGAGCAAAGACTCCTGTAGCTCCGGCTTCCATTACTGGTGGAAGCCAGAGCTATAGGAATTTTTGCTCAACTTCAACTGGCTGCCAGCCAAAGCCTCATTTGAGGAAGGAAGTCTAGGTTCTTGTCACCTTCTAGTGAGGGTGCTGTAATGTGTTGCCCAAGGGGCGGCAGCCCCTGAAGGTTACTTTCTGTGATTGGGATGCAGCAGGTAAGAGCTGCTGTTTGTGTATAGCACCTAAGTTGCTATACACAAATGCAGCATTGTTTACTGGAAGCTTTTGAGATATCATTTGAAAGATGCTCCTACCTGGTTCAGAGGCCAGGTACATGTGGGACCAGTTGTTTCAAATTGATCCTATGCAGCTTCCTCATCCCAGTATTAGTGCTGTGGGATCTTGTCTTAGAGGATTTAAGGAGCAGCAAGAAAGGAGCATTTTTCTCTAATAGTGCCTCTTGCTGGAGATGGACGGCTGACTTTAACATTGAGAACTCTTGTTCAGAAGGGCATTTTGGGGCCTGTGTCTGTCCAGTAATGGCTCATTTAATTGACTTTGGTTTATATTAGCTGCAACTATATTCAATTGATTTCTTGCTTGGTAAGAGATTTCTGTCACTGCATGGGCTTGGCTCCTACCATTAGTTTCTTATTACCAGGCTTGGGATTCTGCAG